ATTGTTTTATTAAAATTATGTTGTGTAATTTGAATTGTATTATATTGTAAAACATTAAAAGAAACCGCTTGAATCAGTAGAGAGCTTCGGATGTTTTACAATTTAATTTACAAAACACCAGCCTTTTTGTTTTGTTGCGCTGAAGTTTCTTTTTTTGGAAAAAGGGAAAGTGCCATATTAGATTATACTGTTTCACCATTTGCGGACCATTCTGGAGAAAAGAACGACCGTCTAGTTGTTGATAGTTGAGGTGGATGAATGGTAGTTGTAAACGAGTCGAGTTGAGTGCACGAGCTCAACTATAAAAACAAGAAGAGTCAGCTTACTAAACAGCATTAGGGATGGGTAAGAAAAGGATGGGTAAGAAAAGGATGGAACTACGGCCCATCAAAATGTGTAACTCTTCCCTGGGAAGTTTTTGGGCCAAAAATATCTCTAGCAAGTGGATAACAATTCTTGAAAATGCAAACGCTGGAAAGAAAATGGTCACCATCATGCACCCAATTCTACGAGATTTCACCATCTCATCCTTCATGATATTAGAGATAGGCTCCAGCCTCACGGCAAAAACCAGCCTCATTTTTGGCGTACAAAAACTAGTGCTTTGGTTTTCCCTCATGGATGACTGAATTATATTTCTCCAGCAAAACCAATCTCTAGCTCTCTCCTTCCCTCAGAAATCAGCAGCAAAAAATACCTTCTGCTGGTGCCAGAAAATGGGTTGCAAGGTGAACTACTTTGACCTGCCAATTCTATGCAAATTCCCTACAAGAAAACCAAGCTTCAGGACTACCACCATAGCCTTCTCCACAACTGCCCAAAACAACCGGGAGTATGTTCCAGGTTCCACCACTGCAGTGGCCACTGAGACCCAGAAGCTGAAAACTGGTTCCTGCAGTGTCAGCTTCAAGACTTTGGGAGCTTGCAAGCTTGGGATCTCCAGATATCCTGACTTTGAATACAACGCTGAAGGCGGAACAGGCACTGGTACTGGCACAACCATAACCGTTGATGACTCAGACAATGAGATTTCAGTTTGTTTCGACATCAAAACCCTCTACATTCCACCCTTGACAAGCGCAACAACCAAGTTCCTAGGGTTGCCTTTGCCACCATTTTTGAACATTGACATTGTTCCTGAACTTTTCAATGGAATCATCAACCAAGAATCCGGCAAGGTAGACTAACCTTATTCATTTGAATCCATTGAATGGGAAAATTAATTCCCAGAAGGAGATGTGAAATTAATGGGAACTTTGATGCTTCTGCCTTTGTAGGTTGAGCTGGAATTCACAGCAAATTTCTGGTTTTCAGTTGGGACCATCTACAGAGCGCCCCCGCTACTGGTGAAGACAGTTTTAACATCAGAGGAATCAAAAGGGAAGATCAGAAGAGGAAGAGGAGAAAGGTTGAATAAAGAAGGGAAGTGCAGATTGGCTGGGGTAGCAACTGTGGATCCTATTGATGATTTCTTGATGAATTCCTTCCTCAGTCTGCCTACTGAATGTCTAGCCAACCTGAATGCTGTAATCTCCTTCTCCAATTCTTATTAAAAACAACACAATGTCACAATGCTTGCCATTGTGTAATCATGTTAATCATAAAAATACAAAGGAACATTAAAACATTAATTCATTATTATAAATTTCTTTACAATTCTGAGTGCATCAACAACCATTTTGCGAGAATAATTTATCATCATATCACCTATACCCACCACCAGATCAAAGAAATGGCGAAACAACAGTGAAAGCTCTTACTCAGTTGTGTTGGTCATCTCCTACAGCCTCCATGAAAGTGTCCTCTGCATGAAGCAAAACTAAGATAGCCGTATATATAACCTGTCACTTATACAGACAATTAGCAATATATAGCTATTATCTCCTGCTTGTTATCTGTTTCTCTTTTGGGCATGGTGTCTAGCAAATTAGAATATCATTCAAATGCAAGCCTTTGGGTGCCAACCAAAGAAGCATATTGACCCTTCTTAGCCAGCAACTGAAAATGGGTCCCCAGTTCTGTTATTTTCCCTTCAGAACAAAGAGCAATTTGATTTGCCTTTTGAACTGTGCTTAATCTATGAGCAATGACTAAAGTTGTTCTCCCTTTCATGAGATGGTTCAGAGAATCCTGAACCAGGCGCTCACTGGCTGCATCCAAAGCACTGGTGGCCTGTGGCAAATAACATACATTTTTAGGCATGAAAATTAGTAGTGGAATTTCTAAAATAACAATCAACAATGCCTTAATCAAATGATATTGAGCACGGCCTTATACAATTTCAGTTCCAAGTATCCAATTATGCTGAGTGCAATCAGATTTAAGGTAAAGATGGAAAATGCACTGATGAAAAGAAACCCTTACCTCATCAAGAATCAGGATTGGGGCATCCTTGAGTAAAGCTCTTGCAATGGCAATTCTCTGGAGATAATTAGGAGAAAAAAAAAAGAGAGGATTCAGTCACCATCTCCCTGCTTGTACATGAGTCTACACACACTCACCAAACAGAAAAGCATGAAAGTATACTGCTTTCCAGATTACCTGCCTCTGTCCTCCACTCAGTAGTCCTCCACGCTCACCAACTAGTGTATCATAACCCTTTTAAACAAAGTAGCAAATATAGATGCTTGAAAAACTGAAAAAAAATAAAAATAAAAACATAAAACAAAAAACAAAAACAGGATAGGTCCAGCCAAAAACCTGTGGAAGGGAAATTATAAATTCATGAGCATTTGCCGCTTTAGCTGCTGCAATGATATCATCCTTGGATACATTATCATCAGGAAGCCCATATGCAATATTTTCTCCAACAGACACCGAGAATAGAACTGGTTCCTGTACCAACTTATGCATTAAACATGAAGAAATGCCACAATAAAACATTTGATAAAGTAAATTAAGTATATACTACAGCATCTGACAGAACTTTTGGTTTGTTTTATACCCAATTACCACAGTAATCTAAATAGACAAAAGGACATCATAGGTGTGGATATAAAAATAGGAACCTTACCATTTTGTCAACAGAATACTAAGCTAACATCAGAATTCTATTCGCTGGCTTTAGTATGTTTTCTACCAAATTACCTATCCAGGTCTATCCTACCAATAATTTTGATGGTTAGTCTACAAAACTAGGTAACTTATTGAGACTATCATTCAGAGGTTGAGAGTAGAGAATGACTCCACAGGCAACATGTTCTAATCTCTAGTGCCTATTTTCACATGCATTGATATTTAAATACATACTTGATTCACTATGGAGACAACCCGAGCCCATTCACTCTTGTCAAACATTCGGACATCTTTGCCTGCAACTGTTATAAGGCCTTTGATTGGCTGCAAGATCCAAAAAAAAAGAAAAAAAGGAGGCCAAAAGAACAAATATTTAGTTGGTACAGGTAACTGTTCTCAGTTGTCACTATTCTTTAGTAAGGTAAATAATGCTTACACTTCCAAATAAAAATTGAAGAATTGAAGATATTAAAGACCTCATAGAAACGTGCCAATAACTGTACAATTGTGCTTTTGCCTGCCCCACTTGGTCCCACCAGAGCAGTTACAGTTCCACATTTTAGGGTCAAATTAAGACCACTCAGAATTTCAACATCTGGTCTTAAAGGATACGAAAAGTATACATCTACAGAAGTAAAATGAGCACATTAGTCAGCACAATAAAACTAGTATATCTATCATGTTTGTCTTGTAAATTCAAACTCTAACTCAACATACCCAGAAGCTGAAATGTAAGTACTTATTCTACATGGTACAAGAAGCGTAAACTACTTTCAACTTGAGAAAAGTAGCTAATGCTGATCACATAGATGCAAAAATTGTCTCTTAGCATAATCTTCTTCATCTAATTTACTCTGAGAAAACAAAATTTATTTTACCCACAGAAGAAGATATAGCTAATGCTAAAGATTAAGAAAGAGATGAGCCTAAAGAAATCATCATACTGCCTCAAAGACAATGGGTAGACTGCATCAAGATACCTTCAAGGCAAACATCACCAGACCATGCCAAGCTACCCACATTTCTAGCTGACTTCAGAGCTGACATGTAACGTGCATTTAAATGTTCAGTTTTCTCAATAGAACCATTGGAAATAAACAATTTGATATTTTCCTCATGAACTTCCTTTTGCTGGATTTCCCTTTCTAAACCATAGGCCAGGGCTTCATCAATTTCTGTTCCTGATAGAATAGAATTAATCCTCTCAACAGCAGCAAAAACTCCACGAAGATCTCCAAATGTATTAACCAGCCCTTGAACCTGTAATAACAATAGATCAGATTGCATATATCCAATATCAGCATAATGGAGAACAAGGAGTGAGAAGGGACTCACGGCAAAGGTTAATGTAAAGGTGTATCCAATGAAAGAAGCCATAGTTCCCACAGAGAGTTCTCCCTGAAGACAGAAGACATAAGAATGGCTGGAGATATAGAGATGATATGTATAATTTGATTTCCCCTTTCCCTCACCATCTTTCTTGGTACTTCAATGCAAAATAAAAAATAAAAATTAAAAAAAGCTCAACTAATGGAAGCTATAATTTATTTATTTTTGGTAAATAATGAAAGCTATAATTTATTATGCTCATTTTTCATTAATATCATGTAGTTGAAGATTTGCTGTCAGGTTAAATTTTAGTAATTGGTGCTAAAAGCAAAACTTAACTCTCAAATTATTTCCTGTCCCTGAGACAAAAGTCAGGTTCCAGTTGTCAGATATGCCATGGTAATATGTGGCATGTGATAGCAAAAGGATTTATGATGAGGAAATGCAGATGAAATCTTGAAACACATAAAATATTTAATAAGAGGAAAGGCTTATATAAAACTGCTTACAGCTTTCACTTTCCTTCCTCCTAGGCAATTCAAAGTCAACAAAGAAACATAGATGGCGATCCTAGTCGAAGATTCATTTATGGATTTGAAAGTCCCAAGCTTTATGCCACTACTCTGATATGCCAGAGCCTGCAAATAAAGGCAAGCAAGTTCCTTGGATAAGCTTAATCCATGACAAAAGGTCATAAAATACAAGGAAAAAACTTCAGTGGTTGTGGATTTTATAAGAATACCAAGGTCCAATATCTCACCTTGTTACCAAACATAAACATTTGACGCTTTTCACCACCAAAGGATCTTACCTGTGACAACAAGTGCAATAATTTCAACCATCAAGCATACATCAATTTTTTCACAGGCCATCCTCTAAGTAAAACACCAACAGTAATGTAATTTTACTGCCTGATATTGAAGTTCTTGAAAATGAAACTTCCAGCATACATGGGTAGATAGATAGGTGGAGAGAGCATCTTAGGAACATACAGTACGAATTGCAGAAAACGTTTCTGCCGCCCAGTCTGACATAGACGCTTGTGCCAATCCATGAGCTTTAAACACAGGCACGGTTGTTCGCTTGTATACAGCTTAAGAGCATCAATCATAATCAGTAGCTGATAAGAAAACATTAATGAACAGAAATACACATATCCAAATTAAGATAAGAACACGTAGTTAATATTACAGGATACTTACATCATTCCAGAATAAGACATAAAGGTGATAAGTGTTTCCATGTTTAATAGTTTTCCCTTTTTTCCCTTCACAGTGATCATAAAATTTGGAAACAAAGGGGTAAAGAAAATAAATTATGACCTTGTCGCAAGCCTACAAATTAAAATTCCTAAGAGTTACTGAAACCAACTTTTCCGCATCATGAAAATCTGGCAAAAAAAAGCACCATACTCTTAAAAACTAGGGTGCCTAAAAGATCTCAGGCATTCACATGGGTTGTCATAAATCTAATCCTGTAAGAATTTCAGTAGATGTTATCAGTAAATAAATGTTAGGAAGACAAAAACCACACTCCAATAGTACTTATAGTTGAAGTATAGCTACATGGAAGGAACAAACATTCTAAATAAACTAAAAGAGTCAAAGAGAACATATTTACCTACTAAAATAGACACAGTAACTACCAGTATTCCCAGAATAGGTGCAAGCTGGGGGGATAAAACGAATAGTATGCATACTGTCCCAACCACCTGAAAGAACAGAGTGAGTCAGAGACAAAATTAGAAATTACAACAAGTATGGTGGTACTGGATGCTGAATCACACATGGAATCTCCTAGAAGGGATATGATAAAAAATCCTTTGAGCAAAATGGACTCAGTTTGAAACTCCTTCTGTACATTGTACCCAAATTTTACTGGAGAACAAAGAACTTTTAACTAGTTTACAGCCAGTGGAAGAATAATCAGGAAAACAAATTTGAACCCAAACTTCACTGGAAGACAAGGAACCTTTAACTAGTTTACAATGCAAGTTTACAACTCAAGTTTACAATGCAAGTTTACAACGCAAGTTTACAACACAAAAGAATAATCAGGATATAGATCAATCAAAAGTGCATGCTTAATTGTAGGCAACATCTAGCTCACTTTTGTTTAGTTAGAGTGGCTTGCCTCGGAAAGTGCCCTAAATCCACGATCCCTTGAAATGTTTTCACTGACAATATCTTTTACAGAACCCAAATCAGATGTTAACAAACCAATTAGTTCTCCCACCTGTGAAAAGCAAACAACTAGAATGTGTCAAAAAGTGATAACAGCTATTCAGACAACATGATTAGCCTTGCCTAGAAATAATTATTGAGTTAAAAGTTGGAGAAATACCAAGAAAAGGGTGCGCCTAATTTAGAAAATAAAATTCAAAATGATATGAACAATGGTAGACTTTGTTCTATGAGAAATAGTTCTTTTATGACTCTTCTGATGTTGTCATTTGACAGAGCATCTAAGCACATAGTCATCAATATGATCAAATTGTTCCAAGATACAGGGATCCATACTTCCATTTTTTCCAGGCTTTCTTCAAGGCAGTTTCTATAATCTAAAAATAGATTTCTCAGCAAGCTGACAGTACCACCATCCCTCGTGGTTAGCAAACAAATTCACAATAGATCATATCTTAAGCAATGTGTGGTCCACAAACATTCAAATTTTAAGCAGCCATGATCTCCTACAACATAGATTGGTGGTTCAAAGACTAATAAATATGACTCAAACTATTAAACACAAACAAAAAAAATTAAATGTTATAAAAGCAGTGGAATCCATTGCTAGCCATGGATTCAATGTTCTTTGTATCAATTGGTAGATGTCAAAAATATTGGATTAGAGCAAATATTTTTTCTATATCACAAACAGGATTATGGCTCAGACTTCAATTCTCTTGTTGCCATATGCAAAATCTGCCCATATGCCTTGAGAAGGAAAAATTTAGCACCATAAATCTGGTAGACAATCAGACAACGTTGAAGCATCAGATACACGTAGCTATCTCTTGCAACCACAAATTAAAAAGCCTCTCCCTACTAATGATCCACAAATTCAGATGCAGGCACAAGAATGGAGATTATACTATAAAGTAGCAACAGAAATATAATACTTTGGAGCAAATGATTTCAACTTGCATATAAATCAGTTAACCATGTACAAACCTTGTATCGATCAAAAAACTCCGCCTGCATATACCCAAAGAAAAGAAAAAATGTTAAAATTACTTCACCACTAACACATTGTAAGAGCTGATTGCACCTAAAATCCAACTAATGCATGGTATTAAAATTTTGAAAACTACAATCTGTCAGTAACTCAGTAAGGACTCAAGATGCAATAATGATTAATACCTTTTGAATCAACATCCTCCTAAAAATCTGAGCTCGAAGTAGCAACATAACCTTCTCCCATATGATATTCATATTTACTACAAAAATAACAGTGAAGATTGGCTCCAATGCATATAGAAGCCCGACTTTACCAAGTACACTCCATAAAGGCTCAGGCCTTGTCCCTGTCAGTATGTCGAAAAATTGCCCTACCAGCAATAAACCAGAACATAATTTCTCAATTCTTATTTGACAAAACAAAGAATCTTCCCAATTAACACAACATAGACAATCATTTACTTTCTCGGCAACCAAACAGGCAAAAGAAAGTGATTTCTGTACCGGAATATATAGTCACGGAGAGAGTACAAGTGGTGCAACCGATGAGAGTCAAGACACAAACAGCAAGCCTCAGCTTGTGCTTAAGCAAAAGCGTCCACAGAAGCCCCCAACTGATCAAATTCCGCGGTTTCACCTTCTCGTTCTCAGTCTCCGAGCCGTCAATTCTCCGGTTGGGCTCGCTCACATTCGGGTCCGAAGCGAGTCCGTTCACGTAAGCACGAGGTATTGCGCTCGCAGAGTATGATTTTCTGGACATAGACAGTGAAAATAATGGAAACCTCCATGACCGGCGAAGAGGATAATTTAGAGAAGAGACTGCGAGTTTCAAATTCCGATCGGTACGTGTGTGGCTGCGCCCGGCGGGGATGCGTATGGAATTGGGTTGCAGCAGGAGAGGGAAAGCCGCAGACGCCATGGAAAAACGGCGAAAGCTGTTATTTTTTCGTCCAAAATTATCGGGTCCGGTAACTGTACTCGCACTGACCGCTTCGCACAGTTTTACGTCATATGTGCATACTATTGTTTGGAAAAATGATCAAGAGAAAATTTCTTTATATTATTTTTTTAATATAATTTTTTGTATTATTTAAATGATTAATTTTTTTATTCATTTAAAACTCATGATATTAAATGTATTTATTTATTTAATAAAATATAAAAATTATATAAAAAATAATAAAAAATTATCCATATATAAATGGAAAGAGAATTCTTCTGCTTCCTCTTTTGATTTTTTAGTTCTAATTTTCAAA